TTTTTTTTTTTTTTTTTTTTTTTGCATATTTAAATGCCCTGAAGATTTACAGATGTGTACTTCACATAATGTAAGACCCACTTAAAAAGTTTCAAAAAATAGTAAAATTGTTTAGGCCCCCAACTAAAGTGAAAAAAAAGTAAAAAGTGCAAAAAAAATGTGGGCGAGAACGTTTTGACACCACCATCTTTGGCAATTTTTAAGTCTTATTTGGATGAGCCAAATGAAGTCAAATTTATAGGCATGTACCTCACGTCATAGAGAACTCGAAAAAAACAAATCAGAAAAACAAAAATAATTTTATGCCCCGAAAGAAGTTTTGGCGGGGGCCAAACGCCGTTGGGTTCAGACACCGTACGTGACCCCGAATGCCCGTACGTACGGAGGCCGGCCTGGGGACATCCGTACGTACGGGCTGGTAACCCTGGTTGTACATCTTTGAAAGATCTACAATGCTATTTGTTTTTTTCTGTCTTTGTTATATCCCTGAAAAAATCTTTGTGAAACAAAAAAAAGAAAACACTCATTTCATTGTTTTTTTTTTCCATTGTGTTTATGTTTTTGATTTTCTTAAAATATACTCAAAGTTCAAAAAAAACACAAAAAGGGGTTGTAGTCCTCGAAACGATCTACAACCCTATATACATATATATATATATATATATTGGATTATGTTTAATCAAGGAAACAAATCATTTGTAATAGGGTCCGAAATGACTTTTAGGCATTCGAGGAAGTAAAGTTATGAAACGTTGAACTCCCCAAGGTGTTATTATACGATTTTGGTCGTGATGCGGTGGAAGGGCAACAAGGGTACCCAGAGGTAGCGATGGTGGGATCGACAATAGAGTCCGGAATGATTTTTAGGCCTTTGACTTGGCTGAGACAAAAGAAGTCAAAATTTATTGGCTTGTACCTCATGTCAGTGAGAAGTCACAAAAAGCAAATCAGAAAAACAAAATAGTTTTAGGCCCCGAAATAATTTTTTGGGGAGGGACAAACGCCGTTGGGTCTGGACCCCGTACGGGACCCGAATGCCCGTACGTACGGAGGTTGGCCCGGGGACGTTCGTGCGTACGGGCTGGTGACCCTCGTTGTACATCTTTGAAAGATCTACAACGATATTTTTTTTTTTTCTGTCTTTGTTTTATCCCTTAAAAAATCTTTGTGAAACCAAAAAAAAAACACTCATTTCAATTTTTTTCCCCATTGTGTTTATGCTTTTGATTTTTTTTAAATATACTCAAAGTTATATATATATATCGTCATAAATAGAACTGCCCGGTAAACCGTAGGCAGAGAGAGAGAAGAGGACAACAAACGAGGGGCTGTGACAAACTGTTTCGTCGGAGTTTCACCGACTCATCAGGAGGCTGAATATATATATATATATAT